CGAGGACAAGGATAATCAATGCATTTGTTACGAATAGCTGGTATACAAAATCGTAGAACGAAGTTTTACTATCAAAGTAAAGTACGTCTGGCCCAAGTGAACAGATGGTGCATGGAACTTTAAATGGGCTCTTCCGAATTCGAATTTGCGTGAACTAATTATCTACTGGAATGTAAACGTTTCTGGCTGTTCAACATGTATATATTGGACGGCTGCATGTATCGACTGATATGAAAACGCAAGATCCGAAGTTCTATTGAACAACTCATAATTCATTCGGGAAAGTAGGATTAATCGTCCCATTCATCAGTCCACTTTCAAAACCTAGCATGTAATACTACACAAGAAGCTAGGTTTGATTCATCTCTACTCCGTGTTGGCAATACCGAAGTACATTTTAGTCTGTAAAGCAAGCATTTTCCAAAATTTCAGGTTCTACACGGGATTTTACTGATCGGATATTCCACCTAAAGCGTAGCGGAGAAAAGAGCTGTGACATTAATATACAACAAATGGGTGCTGGGCAAGATTTTAGATGTATTCGGCTCAAATGTTTGTAAAAATCACAAAACCGATCTTCATGTTTGAAAATAAATCATTTTAAAGTAAGTTCAGATCAGAACTGCTGGTATGGCTTGGAGGCTCCGATCAAGTAGCGTGCGTAGTATGAAAAAGTAGATAAGACCATGTGTTTATGAAAAAATCCTATATTGGATTTTAGTAAATTTCAGTAAAAAGTTTATAATGGGAACATTTCAAAACACGAAAAATTCTAACATTTCCTAAAAATAAAATGATAAGTCGGCCATACCTTAACTCTCTCGCACCAGCTGCATACAGGAATAAATGAATAGAAGACACCAGTGGTTTTCCATTTATACTGAAATTTATCTTCAGTTGCTATCTACCGAAACATCTACTTTGATTCCATTTGTTATCTAAACATAAGCTGGTCACAATGAATTGCCTGGTCGACACCGAGGAATTCAATGTTTACATGTCACAATACTGTTGTATCATCTTCTCTGTAACTCCACAGTAATGCTTTATCACCGATGATTCGTTCATATTTCTCTTCAAAATACGTCAAGTCGCCTGATTTCAATCCGGTTCCTTCTGTATGTTTCTGGTGCATCAATAACCGAGTGACGGATGAATACATGGGCGCTTCATCACAAAGTGTGTACACGTGAACTTGACCTCAAAAACCGGTTCCGGTTTTGTAGTACAACTGAGTCAGACTCATAACCCTGCATTTCCCGGTTGGAGTCGTTACAAGCTCAGTGAACCAATACAGTTGTTGGTTTCAAAAATGCTTCTAAAGCAATAGTTCAGTGTTTCAAAGTGGGTTTTGATCAATTCAGCTTTCTGTATTTGCAAGGGACGGTTGATCAAATGATTGCAGTATATTCATCGAGCGAGATTGGAATCTGTCAAATATAGAAACAAGTCACGTTCAATCAGGTGAATCAAATTAACAAATATTTGCATTATTTACAGGTCGCTCAAGGCAATCATTGATCAGGTTATCGAGCCAGAAAAGATGTGCCAGGCTAAAATGTTGACCAGTAGACCTAGGTTCGATCATACAACGTGATTTCCATAGGTATCCCAGTTGATAATGCCAAAAGATTTATATTCAGATTTGCGTTTATTGTGCGTTTCTTGTTTGCCTAAGCCAGATAGATGGGGTGACCATGTGGTTACGCCCAAAAGAATGTTTGAATGCGAAACTTCGAGATTGGTTCCTAGCACACAGTTTTAAACCTTTAAATGAATAATATCGGCACGTGGATACTATATTTTTGTCCAAAAACCCATTGTGAATCTTAACAAAGTTTTGTCACAACAATGCAGTGCACCTAACCATAAGCTTCACAGTCAATAAGAGAGAAACAACTAATTGCGATTCGTTGACTTTACATTTATAAGGCATTCGACTGGATCCATCTAGAGGAAACTGCACGAAAACGTCACATGAAACGAGCAGTACACAAACTTACATAGTTTGGTGCCATGTGTCTAGGGATGCAACTTGTTCCGTTATCATTTTTTGTGGAAGACTGGGGTAGAAAATAGCTATTCTGAAAATGTTGTTGGTCATAACTGGCTTGGAAGAACACAATCGTTGTCAATAGCTTGAGTAGACAAAAGTACTATCCATCAAAGCCCGCTGCGCGTTCTGGATATCATCAATCAATCGACGTAAGAACAAGGATAAAGTGCCCAATCAATGCACACCTAACTTGTTAAGTCAATCTGTGAGAACACTTATGCACACCGCATAATAGGGCAGCTATCTAATCGCATCGAAGAGCATCACCCAATCCGGCTCAGATACTGAGAGAGAGAACCGGCTTATCTAAAATCCAATTGATACACACTTGGTCCAGAATGGGTATCTGGTGGATACCAACTTCGCTTGCACTATCATTTTCCAAGTCAACAACATCAAACCATTCGGCCATTTTGATTGGGGCGCTGGAAACAGCCAAGGAATTTATCATCCGTTGATCAAAGCCTGAAACGTCTATAAAAAAAACATCTATTCGGGCACCCACAATTCTGTGGCTGAAAGAAAACTACACAAGTAATGCTTAACATCCCTCCACTCCCCTCCAAGTTCCAACAATATCTATAAAAATCTAGATAACCTCAAGGACTGAAAATTAATTAATGAACTTCAATGTTTCTAACTGAATCCTTTTGAAAAGTCAGCTAAAGGATCACTCCAAATTGACAAAGATGGGCATTCCTCGTTGTGTTCGCTTTTACCGCTTCGGTTTACTTTTCTGCAGTATTACCATTTCCTGACTCAAATGATAGTTTTAGGGTCTTGCATTAAGCCTTCTCGGAAGTCTTGGATTTAAGCCGATAGGTTCGTCCATTGAACAGCCACTTGTTTACATTTTGTTCATAAGATGCATCCTTCTGATAACAATCTGCCGTCTCGTCGTTCCCCATTTGTCTACAAGCTGTGAATTCCGGCATATTTCACCCGGGTACGAAATACCATACCACACCGAGCGAGAGAGGGAGAAATAAAACGTCAGAAAAACAAACCATTGAGACAACATTGCACTGAACGAATTTGCTGCTATACAGGCGATGCCCACGGCAAAGGAAATGAAATGTTTATATATAGAATAGGCCAGTGGTGTAGAGAATAAGCAAGCATGAATATGCATGGCAGATCGGCGGTGGAGTGAAAAACACAGCTCGGATTATCGTTATTGTAGATTACTTGAAATGCTTTCCCTCTCAATTGATCGAGCGACTTGGAGTATTGCCATCTAGACCAGAACACATATCAGCAAGTAAACGGTCTTGTTGACTCTGAGACCCAATCGGGAATGTGTTCCAAAACCCGACTGCACAATTGCAAGTGAATTTCGCACGGAAGGCGAATAATTTCCATTTATTTCTTCTGTTTTCGTATCAGTCAACTGTCTCAGATCACTTTTCGCACATTTTCCAACTTGCGGTCAGTATACCAAACTCTGAGGATACGTGCTTTCATAGCACAATACACTAGTTAACTAGTAACTAGATATTCACGCTTATATATATTCAAAGCGTGCACTCCTAATAATTTTTGGTCTCTTGGAGTTGGTACTCAAACATTAAGCAAATAAATTCGTGGATCGGATTATTGTGAGTCTCCATTGGTTATGTATCGTGGACGATACTCTTAGTAATCAATTGATTCACTTTGGTTTAGACTGCACGAAAGTCAAGCTGTTAATTTAGCTGAGATGACATTTTGTATAGTGAACAATTTACTATTTACGGAAATCTTCATCATGCTTGAAGGAACCACAGAAACGACAAGCAGTTAACACAGGTTGTCAGTCCTAATGTCTAAGATCTGTGGTAGAACAGTACAGGATAACGTGAAGGGGCTGCAAGTGAGGAAAACAGATCCGCTCACAACATATGATGTCACCATGCTACACTCTGATTGAAAAATACATTGCTTCCGGATTGACCAACTTGCATATCTATGTTCTTCGAAAACACCACCGTGATTTAATCAGGCACAAGGCTCCTACAATTCTACAAATACATTTAGTGAGATATTTCGAGCTAAAATGTGCTGCTAGAGAATATTTGGTAGAATATCAGTTCCTTAATCGTGTGGTTTGCTCGTATCACCCTAATTAAGGTTATTTGTTTTGTTTTTTGTACTCACACTGACACCTAAATTGAATAGTGGTCGTATGATTCGTTTGGATCTCACGTTCTGTGCGCTTTGGCCACGGAACTCAGAATCGATCGAAAACCATTTTAGTTCCGAAGCACCCATGGCTGATATCGTAAGGATATATCAACTAAGCTTGTATAATTTCACACACGAGAGATTTCGATCCAATCGTGGGTCCAGTTTTGAAAGCATGAAATGCCAATTGACTTAAGTAGATGAGAGTTGCTCAAAATTGGTCAAAATAATCCCCCAATCCCACATCAATTTGGGTTCCTCCATCCTTATCCCAATTCCCGGTAGCAGTGAAATTATAATCTTGGGCTTAGTCAATGAACAGCAACTCACTAAACGACTTAGTGGCGTGATCCAGAATCACAACCTAAGTTAATTATTGACCTTCGATGTGTTTTAGTGCAGTGATGGCGAAGTCCACTCGAATTCGTCTGGAATTCACCATCGGACAGCCATGCTATTTTGTGATATGTTCACTCATCTTATAATCCTTCTTCGTCTTCCGACCAGCTTCTGGTCATCAAGTGGTTGTTCTTCTGTATCATTGTAATTGATAAGAGTAATGAATGATCATAAACAATTGATAGTACATATGACTTACAGGGACGAGGTTGTCTACTCGTCCAGGTTTAAGAAGTGGTTGGTTGAGTTGTCAAGTTCAAATAATGGATCATTGATCTAATAAAATCCTTTGGTCTATTTATAACATATTATATTTATTTGTATTTTACGCTCCTCCCGCTCTCCGCTCCCAAAGGTCCCCGAACTACTTCAATCCCGAGTTATGTTTGACTGGGCTCATCGAATTCGTCACACACCGGATGACCAAAGCCCGAACGGTCCCGGTTCGCACAATTCGCGAGTGACAAGTTCCTCCGACGACCCAGACAGATTGTCCCTAACAGTTGGGTCGAATGATGGACGAGAGAAATCATCCAGCCCGGAAATGCGATCTGAGAGTCAGAAACGACGGGAGCAACTACAAAGAGGAACTTCGTTCAGCATTGCACAGTTTAATGCAAAACGGGAGGAGAAAATCAGCTTAAAGGGTTCAATCAGAAGTGGTTCCGATCGAGAGGATAAAACACCCGAACGGGAAGCCGATGGACCTTGGGTCAAAGGATTCGGAGTTCCGGAAAGACGAAGAAAGATGAAGCTGTGAGTCATACTTAAAATAACAGACACAAAGAAGTACAATTCGATAACTCGTTCGATGAGATCACCCTGAATTATGCCTGTTTAGCCCGATTCGAGCGACGAAACAACTGCGTATCTTCGCTTTTGAGGCATCCGCTTAATTTGAGATTCAGTTCCCATTTCAACAAAACAGAAAGAAGATAAATGTCGCGAGGTGTTTACATTTTATTTCACCCTCGCAGTCGCTGACATATATAGCACATGGGATTAATCAACTATGGTGAACGAATGTGTACAAGCATACAAGGGTTACTAAGTTTAGAAATAAAAGGTCAACTCCACGGTAAGTGGACTGCTTGTATCGAAAACTTCTGTGCGCATAAGGTAGGGTGATGTAATCAAACAAGCAGTACCTCACTAATCGCCAAAGTTTATCATTGCGATTACGTAATAGTGGTTTGAAAGAAGAACAGTAATTATAACAAAAGACAGTTACATCACCAAAATGAACGAAATTCTTTCGAATGCTACAAAATTCCACATCAACCATACAACGGACAATAATGTTCTGACCGAGGGCCTTATTGCAAGAAAGCTACAGATTTTGTTGCATCATGGTTACATTTTCGAAGCCTAGTACAAACAACTGAACAGAAACACTGCAAACGAGGGGTTCGCCCAAAGTTCACAAACGTGAGGCCCCACTCAGGCCAATTTTGTGCATGCAAAATTCGCCGTATCACAAGCTCGCCCGATGATATTCTTGATCCTATTTGTAAGTATTTTATACCTCACTATGTGAAAGATTCCTTTGATTTCTCTAATGTTTTGGATAATATCCCAATATCCCAACAGAATGTATTCGATAGATGTGGATTCACTTTTTACTAATCTACCACTTTATGAAACAGTTCAGTTCTTATGTGATTATATTTCTTCAAACAATTTTCAACTTATTATTCCTCTTGAACACTTAAGAGAACTTATTCTTATATGTACAGAAAACATTCGTTTTGAGTTTGAAGGGATCGCTGGCGTGGCAATGGGTGGTCCCTTGGGTCCCATTTTGGCAGATGTTTTTCTAGGTATGATTGAGAAAAAGCAAAGTGGTAATATTTTTAAGTCCACCTTGTACAAACGTTACGTGGGCGATATTTTCATTCTTACATATGATGAACATTTCAATACACTTTTACAACAGTTCAACTCAGTTCATCCACCTGTATCCGTATCTCATGAATCGGAAACCAATAACACTTTCGCTTTTCTTGACATAAAAGTTACAAGAAGGATGAATGAGACAATACAACGCTCAGTCTACCGAAAAGCGACATGGAACGGGCAATACCTACATTTTTCCAGCTTTTCCCCCGTAACCTACAAACGTGGGCTTGTGAGAACCCTATTTCATCGGGCGAGAAACATTTATTCTCCAGATACACTGAAGGAAGAAGAAGATTTCCTAAGGAGAACTTTACTAAACAATGGTTACCCAGAAAGATTTATGGATATTCACAGTAGACCATTCCTAAAAGGTAATCCATCCCAGAAAGTCAGTAAAAAGGCCATCTACATCAAGCTTGCGTTCAAAGGGACCACATTTACAATGATGTGCGCCAGAATTTAATGTCAGCTCTAGACCGTACATTCCCAGGTGCTCAACTCAGACTCATTGCCTCCACTCGTGAAATTGATTTGGACAAACGTAAACATGGTTGACAAACCAGTTTCGTCTCACACACTGTACACCAGTTCACTTGCAGTTGCGGTGACGCATACATAGGTGGAACAAACCGTCAGCTGTCACAATGGATGGCCGAAAATATTCCAAAGTGGTTGGTGAAATCGATGACGCAACCGATAAATGATGGCCAAGAGACTACAAGAAATCCAGGATCATCTGTTGCAAAACATGTCGTGGCAACAAGACACACAGTTGACCCTAATTCTTCTTTCAAACCACTATTACGTAATCGCAATGATAAACTTTGGCGATTAGTGAGGTACTGCTTGTTTGATTACATCACCCTACTTTATGCGCACAGAAGTTTTCGATACAAGCAGTCCACTTACCGTGGAGTTGACCTTTTATTTCTAAACTTAGTAACCCTTGTATGCTTGTACACATTCGTTCACCATAGTTGATTAATCCCATGTGCTATATGTGTGTGCTTGTTTGTTTTAAGTCAGCGACTGTGAAGAAAAAGAAGAAGAAACTTCATTCCATTTCATAAAGCCCACGATTCAAGTAACTCTTAATGCATATTTCAAGCCTAATTAAGCAACTGGTAAGGATGTACACTGCAAAACCGTTCGAGATCAAGAGTTTTTCTTTTTAAGATTATTAGTTTTAGCAATTTTCTGAATTCTCACCCTCACCCCCTGTCACTAACGTGACAGAAATCCTGTTAGAGCCCAACTCTAAAACATTCCCCGGGATTGTTAGGCTCCCACAATGTGAACGATATTGTTAGAATTTGGAAGGCCATAATGTCTTTCACGCATCATTTTACAGGTATTTACTTCACTAATTTCAGTGTCGCCAAACGTTTTGGTCCAACATTTTCTCAAGCCATTGTTGCTCCTTTCTGTTCTCAAGCCTATACTGCAATCTTATTGGAGCAGTAAATTTCCCCCATTCATGATCTCCTTTTGACATTTTTTACTTGCAATTGTTTCCTTCTTTTCATGGTATTTAATCTAGGTGATTTGAATTCATCCACTTTAACATGAAATGTTCTTCCAGACATGGTGATCACCAGCCATCCTAATCTGTTGACTCTTATTTTGAAGGCGCTTATTTCCAAAAAGTGACTACTTTCCACTACTCATGCTGAAAATATATTCAATACCCAAGCAAATCCCTACCATTTCATTAATTTATCCATTCGAAGTGAATTACGATTGTTTACTGGAACCTTCCATCCGTTAATGCTACTCTTCTAAACGTGTCTCTGAGTATAGCCACTTTGTTGTCTTCATTTGCCTTCTGTTCATCTCCGCGGATGTTTTTACTGAAGCAATAAACGCCTCTTTCTATGTATGTTATTCCCGTGAGAATCCGCCTCTACAAAAACGAAAAATAACCCTCCACGTTGTAGTCATCCAGAGGAAAGAAGAAAGACCCATATGAATCAAACTTTTCTTCTGTAGTACATGATCTACCCCACAGGAACAAACGTGAATCAAAGCGCCTAATTGACCAATGATGGATTATCTAGGTACCTCGTGAATATACGATCAGTTTCATCAATTACTCCCTTCATCTGTGGAAAACGGAAAGCTTCGAGGCTTCACACTGGTAAGCTGAACTCGGCGTTCACCTACTCCTCCCCATCGTCTTTCACCCATCAGGCACTCAGTAATTGATCCACTATTAACAGATGTTTTTAAGCTACTCCGAACACTCAAACCAAGATATGCGGATGGTTCTGGTATTCTTCCTCCTTTTCTGTGATGGTTCATAAACGGAGGTCAATAAATCTGGAGCATCACTGCTCCCCGAATACTTTTCACTGTTGCTCCCCTCTTTAAAACTCCTACCTTTGGCATTTTGTCTAAATGTGTTTGTCTTATTGCAATTGTTTACTCGGGACTGAAATTACCTAACTTGCTTTTCTCAGTCAATCATAGCCTAATTTTACTACTCTCAATGTTCCAGCTTCTTCTTTACCTACCTCAAACTCAGTTTCATCCCACATTCACTTCGCTACCACATCCCTGATTAAAATCCACTCGGCGCATATGTCGTCCAAATTCTACTCTCAGCTCGGTACTTTCATTGTCTCTTCTCCTCATATTAGTCATTTTCTCGACAAATGTCTTTTCTTCCATGGTTCAGAGTTTCATTGCGAGAAATCAACGCTCTAATTTCGGTGTGTATTTGCCTCGTTCGTAGAGTAAACAAACTTGGTATAATTTGTTGTACCATCTTTCCCATTATTTGTTCACCGGTTCCATCAGATCGTGCGTTTCTCCTGCTAAATTACTAAATATGCAAATGATTTTGTGTTGTGTTAATTTGCTGTAAATCAGTTAGATTTTTGGTCTCTATTTGATGATTTAACTGCCGCTCAAACATTTGCCTTTCAGTTGGACCTAAATGTAACTTATCCAAATGTTTTCAGCTCATATTTAGGCTTTGACTTTCATCATACCCCACTGAACCTTTTTATATTGTAGGTTCGATTGACCAAATAACCCACGCCACCAAGTAGTATGGTGTCACCAAAAATATTACTGAATAGTCTCCTCATATCCTGCGTGGTAAATTGAATTTCACGAATTGCGACAGTGCATTGCCAATAGTCGGCAATTTATTTGCCGATAGTACAGTATCTTCCCAATCACTCTTTATTATTTCCTGTCATCTCGCATAGTTTACTTAAAACATTTATCTATAGTTCTTAAAGGTTTAACCGTAAACCCTTATTTCCCTTATCAGTGATTTTGAGATGTTCGTGCAGGGTGGGAGTTATGTTTGATTGATAACTCACACCCCCTTCCGTCTGATTCATCGCTCTGTTTTCTTCATCCTTCAACGAGGTCAATTGTCAGATCATTCCCACTGGAATATAGAATGATAGGCAGATGGATAGATAGATGCTCTGTCCGGTGTTTGGTCCGTATGCTTATAGCTCACCACAGTGAGAAAATCGTCCGTCAGCAATTGATCTTCGTGCACGTTTTCATGTATACTGTTCTGTTCTACTTGTACCTCGTTCTCACCTACATTCGCTTATCTTCACTTCTAGATAGAATCGCAAATAGTTCTCAATTTTGTATGAGAGTAGTGGAGGATTTGATTTGATTATTTGATAAATTTCTCGTGTAATTGAAGTGTGAAGCTAGGAATTACTGAATAGTTGTCTCTGCTCGAGAACCCTCAGTGGTACGGCCCAATAAACGGGTTAACCAATGAAGCTTATCTAACTTCTCTTTTTATCTTTTTTTATCCCGAAAGAGTTCCGCATATATTACAAAGTCAAATGTGATGAAATACACACAGAAAGGTTGCCTTCTCACATCTTTCTTGTCCCCGGTTATCGCATGCATATTTTTCACTCCTTTTTAAATCGTTACTTGTTTGACACGATTTGGAATCAGACTATCCATATACATATACATATAAATATACATATGTGTTGTAGTATGTAGTATGTGACTAACTGGACAAAATCTTGCTGGAATCACACAATTAGATTGGCGGTGATTGCCGCTCGTCAGGAAGGCGTTCCTGGAAATCTCTCGTCGCGGCTGGTAGAATCCAACTCGAAAAACGTTGTTCACCGCTTTTATTCACAAATGAACTGAGTTTCACAGCATGTTTACAACACGTATACTCCACTTTTCACTGATCAGAGATTTGTGACGAAAATACATATACAGTAAGAGAGACAGAAATAAAGGGTTTCCGTTTAGCACAATTAACACTGAATAATTTTGATTGATTTTTCTGATGCTATCCACATAGCTATGATCGAAAGAGGATCTCCAATATTATCGTGTTCATTTGGTCACGGTTTACTTTACATGGTTTATTTGAATAATAGCTTAGTCATTCGGTCATTAGCAGTGGCATTTCAACTGGAATGACTCTGAACACGAACCAAGGTTCTCCGATTGATGACTAATACAATACTTCGGTAAAGATTCGTTATATTTCTGGTGGCATAAAAAGCGATCTGGGTCAATCATATGCCTGATAATAACCAACGAACAAAATTTTGAGCTAATCCAAACAGGCGATAGTGTCTTCAGTTAATTATCCCAGTTTGTTGATCAGTAAAATAGAGAATCATGCACAACCAATTAACCGTTACCCGAACCACGGATACAATGCCTAGGTTCCGATTAAATAATAAAATCAAAACTGACAGAATAAATGAACCCTGATAGAACAGAAGAGGATTAGAACCAAAAAATCATCAAACACAATATCCATCTATTCCTTTATTCTACTCAGTTCCCGGAACTTCGCAATTTACAGCTATTTTTATAACTAAGGACTGCGGTATGACAATCAGGGCCCAAGCACTCTCAAGGATACAATAAAACCCAATAAACGATGTGTGTTTAGGGTAACCGGAAACGCTCAGAACAAAGCAAATGATTTCGGATATTCGTGGTGAACTTCAGCATTTTTGTTCTGAAATCTACTCTGAGTTTTAATAATAAAACAATAACAATAATAATAATAAGTTTACACTTAATACTGAATAATCACTTGGTGCAAGTGCGTTCAAATAAACGCACTGCCATCTTTTTTCTAACATTGGAATTTAACAATTGAGGGATTAGAAAGCTAAACATAACATGTCTAGTCATTCGAAAAATATGATTTCTGGAATCATATATTTTGTTGGTGATAAAAATCGAAATGAAAAGGTCACTGGAAAGCTGAAGTCATTTTGCATTCATTTTACCACAACATCGTTCCTTATTCTCTCTCTGCCCCAAAACGTTCTCGTGAGAAAATATTATTTTATGAGGAGGAGAAGAAGAAGAATGTGTTAAACCATGAAATACTTTATTTCGATCTAATCCGAAGTTATATCAACCACTTATAAGGGTTGAAAACATAGTTGGGCCTCGACATCGCTCAACAATACAGATGTCAATCCTATTCCTCTATGTGTCCAAGAGCGGACTGATACATGTAGCTGAATATTAACTACAGAATTGGAAATTATTGCCGTAGATAGTGTGATTGCATTTCGACCACTAATCCAAACAAGTGCACGGCCACACCCAAGGCATCGGCCGGGGCTATTAACGTCTCAAGCATCCGATGTCGATGCAATCCACCAAATGTGGATTGTAACAAGCCAGTGGTCAATGGGACCCATTGCGGTGGACATTGACGATTCCGATTGGTGACCAGAGCCAGCAGTGAATCGAACGGGACAAAATTATTGGCCAATATTGTGGCGAATAAGAGCACTCGGAGAAACTCACTCTTATTCCCCACATTGAGGGCACCAGTGTGCACAGCGTAGAATATCCCATAGACAAGTACGAGAAATGTTGTACACACCCAACTGGTGTGTTTGTCTTTTGTGTTGAGTAAACAGACCAGCAAATAGAAACAGTTGGCCAAAAATATTACCACAAATACGGACAGGAAGTAAGGTGCCGTAGCCTGGACGTGAATCTCAATCATAGCTTGAGTCAGTGCCACCAAAGCACTAGTCAGATAGAACACAACAGTATTTGTGGACGCAAATTTAGTTCGCCAAATCACAAGACATTCAAATAATCCCAGCGAGTTGTGCAACAAGGACGTGACAAGAAAGGCACGTTGAATTGGAGTGAGCACTTTAAATAATTGCCAAAATTCCGAGCTCATTGTGATCAGCAAGCGGACTATGACCGTTTCAATGAAGACACCAATTAGATTATGAGCTGCTTTCGAGTGTGGAGTACTCTCGGGAGTTGAAAATGCATCACTTATCCAGCACAAAAAATCGGACTTTGGATGTAGCAGTCCTTGAGACCAAAAGTTGCCAGCTGCTACGTGGCCTGGCTGACCTATTTAAAAGATCGGTCGATTGAATCGATATGGCCGAGCTGGATGAAATGTATACCCACCAAGGCATTCACGTGATCAACAATGGTTTTAGTAGATTGGGAAAAATGAGTAAAAAACTGGATAATTTTGTACATCGGGTTTAAATTATTATTATTATTATTATTCATTACAAATAAAATATTTCTCAAGTCGGTCCCGTTTCTCAGAGGTATCACAACATTACTTCAAAAAAAACTTGCTCAAAGATTGTTAGACGTCAGTCAATTATGTGACAGGTATGAATACCCATCGTCTAAATCTCGAAGAAGTTCACTGCGCAGCAAGATAAATACTTACTAAACAGTTCTATAGTCCATCGTAATCAGTTATTAACAATCAATAAACTCTGTACTCAATCTCACAAGTTTTCAGCTGGCTTTCGTTGTCAATGCGATTTCAGTGATCTCCGGATCGGTGAATGAATCACGAATGGCCATCAAGTTTTGGCTTCTCAACAGACCATTGCATCTCTGGTTAGATCACTAGCTGTCTCAGTCAGTCACTGAGAATCAGATGTTTTGTGGACATATAACCAGGTCATTTTCCTGTAATAATTTTGACGCTTGGTAGTTTGTGATTTCTAAAATAACTGTGTTTTACATTTGAAAAACGTATTCGAAAATAAATTGCAACTGCCTAGCTCGATCGAAACAGAAATCAATGAAGGTGTCACAAACACATTTCGTCATGACACGAGAGAATTATTCTAGACACTTAAAACTGCTCCTGGTGATCACTTTACCCAATGCATCGTCACCTTAGATGGAGATCGAATTATTGCAGATCGGTGAAAATCACCCCATTCAATCCCGTGCAGTCAGTGTCTGTAATCATTCAGGCCCTTAAAGTGCTACTTCCAGAGCTTGTATGCGGACCTATAAATGGAGGCACTATTCCCTCACGGAAAATGGAACCTTTTGGATCACATTGTGGTGTGAATAACGTCTGTGATATCAACGCAATATCTCCATCCCTTTTTTAACTTTGCCATTTTTGATAAAACAAAATAACTGCCGATTATTGAGTAAAATCAAATCATTGCTGATGATCGAACCTGTGCGAATTGCAGTAATTATCAAAATGCTACAATGATACTATTGTAAATACTTTATTTATATACCAAAATTAGATTGTCTAGTGGATACAAGCATCATGACGCACTTTTAGGCCTAATAACCATTTGGAAATGAATCAGTACAATCACTCTAATTGCTGGTGCTGACTTCGACGAACGATATGCAGATTCGATTTCGTATGATCTTCTGCTGCTCGAAATCCTGGCAAGTGTATGC